GCTGAGGAGGCCCCTGCAGAAGCTCAAGCTCCACCAGCTGAGGAGACACCTGCAGAAGTGCCACCTCCACCAGCTGAGGAAGCCCCTGCAGAAGCTCCAGCTGCATCATCTGACAAGGCCCCTGCAGAAGCTCCACCTGCACCAGCTGAGGAGGTCCCTGCAGATGCTCAAGCTCCACCAGCTGAGGAGACACCTACAGAAGCACCACCTGCACCAGCTGAGAAGACCCCTACAGAAGCTCCACCTGCACCAACTGAGGAGGCCTCTGTAGAAGCTCTACCTGCACCAGCTGAGGAGCCCCCTGCAGAAGCTCAAGCTCCACCAGCTGAGGAAACACCTGCAGAAGCACCACCTGCACCAGCTGAGGAGGCCCCTGCGGAATCCCCACCTGCACCAGCTGACGAGGCCTCTGCAGAAGCTCTACCTGCACCAGCTGAGAAGACCCCTGCCGAAGGTCCACCTGCCCCAGCTGAGGAGGCCCCTGCGGAAACTCCACCTGCACCAGCTGAGGAGGCCCCTGCAGAATCTCCACCTGCACCAGCTGAGGAGGCTCCTGCGGAAGCTCCACCTGCGCCAGTTGAGGAGGCCCCTGTAGAAGCTCCCCCTGCACCTGCTGAGGAGGCCCTTGCAGAAGCTCCACCTGCGCCAGCTGAGGAGATCCCTGTGGAAGCTCCACCTGCACCAGCTGAGGAGGCCCCAGCAGAAGCTCCACCTGCACCAGTTGAGGAGGCCCCTGTAGAAGCTCCCCCTGCATCAGCTGAGGAGGCCCCTGCAGAAGCTCCACCTGTACCAGCTGATGAGGCCCCTGCAGATGCTCCACCTTTTACCACATATGAGACTCCTACAGAAGCTGAGTTTCCACAGTCTCAAGAGACACCTCCACAAGGGGCTTCTGTTGAAGTTCAAACTCTATCAGCTGAGGAGGTCTTTACCAACGTGGTCCCTGCTGAAGATGGCCCTACAGGTGAAACTGGGTCTCCTTCATCTGAGAGGGCTCCTCCTGAAGGAACTACAATGGAAGCCCAGGTGACAGTAGTTGAGGAGAGCCCTGAAAAGGCTTCTGCTGATGGTCAGCCTCCACCACCTGAGATTCCTGTTGAAGACTCTCCTGTTGTTAAGCAGCCTCCCAAAACTGATGGTGTCCATATTCAAGAGTTTCCCATGCAAGACACACCTGATGAAGGTTCACTTTCTCCTTCTGAACAAAGCCCTGAAGATAAGACTCTAATAAAAGTACCTCAGTTGCCCCCAGTAGCAGGTATCACAGAGAAAGAATTAGATTCTTCTTCTTTGACAGGTGATAGAAACTCTGAAGAAACAGATCCTATTCCTGCAGATGTGTCTAGGAGCAACGATGAGCCGATTTCCACTTTCAAAATTGCAGGTACCATTAAAATAGAGTTAAAGAACCCGCCCTCCTGAGCTATAGCCAGGGCCTAACTTAAGCTAGTAACATACACTAGAATATTCTAGAAGTACATTCTTTAGAAAAGGAGACACTATCTGGAAGAACTTTCATGAACAGATTAAAGGAAAAGAATCCCAAAAGACTGAGCATGCAGGTTGAACAATGAATAAAAGCAGTCACAGCTTAAAGTTCCTTGTGCTATTTTCATGCAAATCAGTTATGTAAAGTAACTATTTTGAAACAAAGTGAATTTATGTTTGTCACTATTACTTAAAGTATACTTTAGTGAGTACATCCATGGACAACAGTTGTTTATTCTGAAGCTCCTTCCCTCTCTGTTCCTTTTCTTTATAAGCAGAAGAAATGACAGCTTCTTTCTTGAAGATGTCATCTGCTTTCAATTCCTTGAGTTTTACTTGCACATTTAAACTTGCATGATGTTCTTTCCTCTGGTTATGATTCATCCTGTTTTTTTATTCTCTTTCCATTGACTCCTTCTGAGACAAGCATTGCTATCCTGATACAGCTGCTGTGGAAATCAAGTGTGGATAATTCTCAGAAAGATAAAAATAAATCTAAGATATTACTCAGGCAGAGCACTCTTTAGCATGTGCCCAGAGAACCCAACCTCCTAATCCACGTATATTTTGTCAGTCATATTCACTGGTACTCAACTCGCAACAAATAGGTAACAAATTAAACCAACCTAAATGACCTTCAACTGATGAATAGGTAGTGAAAATATGATTCATATACACTATTGAGTACTATTCAGCTGTAAAGGAAAATAACATTATGAGATGTGCAATTAAATGGATAGGATGAGAAAAGATCATAGTGAGTAAGGTGACTAAGACCCAGAGAGCCAAATGTCACACATCCTTTCTTTCAGTTAAGGCAGCTACATAGAAATCGTCAGCTGTGAGTACATGACACGGAGTAACTGTAGAAGCCATGAAGTAGGAATGGATATTGTCACGGGAGCGAGTGTGGAAGAAATATAGAGGAAAATAGAAGGGTATCGTGGTTTGTAGGCTAAATTGTAAAAAAAGGAATTCTCATTAATGGGATTGGAGAGAAATAAATATAAAAGAAGGCACAAGGAAGGTAGAATAACAGTATGTCTGAAAAGAATCATAAGGAATCATACTATTTACTATATAACCAGAAACGTCTATAATACATGTAAGTTGGTGTATCAGTGAAATTTTCCTTTCTGGCCTGACAATGTTCCCTCCAAGAACCAAAGACCATCTGTAAAAGACCCCAACACCAGGCATGAGAAACTTCCCTCTTTTCAATTGCTAAATAGTGTTGTCCAAGAGACTCCCCAAATAGGCTATTGCTATTGCTCTTGGTTTCATTACAGAGGTGGAAGGTAAGTTCCGATTGGGAGGATACCATACAATTCACACACCATACAATACATGATTCAGAGAGTCCTGGACTGGCGATGATCTGAAAACATCCCATTTATTAATTGTTTCCCTCCTATCCTTAGGAAGAAGGAACTTACAGACAAAATGTTATTATTGCAGGATTCGTCTCTCAGTGCCACCAGTGTCTGTGGGCACAAAGTGGCACAAGGGACAGAGAGTTCTTTCTTTCGTTCCTGCAAACAAAGTTCCCGTATGGAGAAAATGCCCACAAAACTTCCCTGCTCAGCATGACGACTCATCTTTGATGTTTAGGGGAAGAATGAAACCTACCTTGATTGTCCTCCCTTGATAGGCTGAAAACTGGTGAACAGTTGCCAAAATCAGCTTTATGGATTGGGGAAGGTTGTTCATGCCATTTGACTATTTTTTTGGTTCTTGTGTCTATGAGCACTTCAACTTCCACTTCCCCTTTCTTTTTTTATTTATAAAAGTTTATTAATTTATAAAAGTTTCCATTTCCGCCCCTCCTCCCAACACCCTCCCACTCTCCCCTCCCTCTCCTCCTCCCTCTCCATCCCTAAGAACAGTCAGGGTTTCCTGTCCTGTGGGATGTTCAAGTTCCTCCCCCTCCCTCCAGGTCCAGGAAGGAGAGCATCCAAACAGACTGAATCCCAAAAATCCAGTCTATGCAGAGGAAACAAGTCCCAGTGTCATTGTCAATGGCTTTTCAGAAAGACTCCAGGCCAGCCACATTCAGAGAATCCGGCCACATTCAGAGAATCTGGTTGGATCACGTCCTCGTTCAGTCCCAGTCCAACTGGCCTTGGTGAACTCTCATTAGATCAGTCCCCTTGTATCAGTGGGTGAACGCACTCCTCAAGGTCCTTCCTTTCTTGTTCATGTTCTCCCTCTTCTGCTCCTCATTTAGACCTTGGGGGCTCAGTCCGGTACTCCAATGTGGGTCTCCGTCTGTATCGCCATCCATCGTGGGATGAAGGTTCTCTCTGCTCCTGCCTTCTTTGCTCACGTTCTCTTTCCTTCTGCTTCTCGTTTGGACCTAGGGAGCTAAGTCCAGTGTTCCAATGTGGGTCTCTGTCTCAATCTCCATCCATCGCCAGAAGAAGGCTCTATGGTGATATGCAAAATATTCATCAGTATGGTTATGGGCCAAGGCCGGTTCAGGCACCCTCTCCTCTGTCCAGAGAACAATCTGGGGATCTCTCCTTGGACCTGGGATCCCCTTTATAATCAAGTCTCTTGTAAACCCTAAAATGACTCCCTTAGTTGAGATATATACTTCCCTGCTCCCATATCCATCCTTCCTCCCTCCCCCCCATCCCAGGCAGGTTCTTCCTTCATTGTTTTTCTGTATAGAATCGTTTACAGCTGTCCTTAATAGAGTCGGATGGGAGAACTGAGTGTTATTGTGCCAGGAGTGACAGCTTTGTTTTCTTATCAAGTGTGCTCTTCACCATCATTAACTATTTCTAACTTGTGTGGTTCTATTTATCCTGTAAGACTCAGTTCGTTTAGCCAGCTTTTCCATATCTAATCACTGATGTGCCTCGCTTTCCATATACCTCTGTTTCTGTCAAAGTGGATAACCCCACAGGGACTCCATCCTATCCTTTTTGACCTTTGGAAAGCCAGAAGTTTTCCGTTCTCCACCTTTCTTTATCATCATTTCCCAACATATTTTTTTAAGATCTCTCATTAGGTTTCACACACACTTATTTTTATTCTTTTTATGCAAATAAGAAATCCACTCACGCCTCTCTCTTCTAACTATGACTCCTTTTATAAGTTTACCTTGCAAGCAAAACCTGAGACAATCAGGTTCAAGTAAAAATGCTTGTGAATGGTCACCCGTAATGACTATCAGAGTTAATTATCCTTGCCCATGCTCCTCTTATTTAGCCTGATAGCTTCACTTATTATAGTAGATCATTTGTATTTGATGTGCTTTCTTCTCTAATTTATGTTCCCTTTGCTTCTAGAATGTTCCCCCTACCACACTGGTGGGTTATCCTTAAGCTGCTTTGGTATTTCTCATCACCTCTGGATCCCTGGATCCTAGAGAATAAAAGGGATCAGTTCTTGTGTCTCTTATGTATCTACAGCCACTTCTTTGGTGAATTTGCTTAATGATGTGACTACCATTTCTGTATGTATGATGATGGCTTACACCTCCAGGTATGATTTCCAGATCATCTAAAGAGCTGTTGGTGATGTTTACTTCTCATAATCTAATTGTCATGACTACACCCATACTTTCTGATACTGTGAAATGCTAAATAAAAATTTAAAAATAATTATATAATTTTCAACTCAAGAAGTTATTCTTAAAGTCTTTCTCCTTTTGATGGATTTTATCATGATTTTTACCTGGGTCATACTAACTATACCCAGAGGAAAAAGAATCAGAAGAACTTGACATATGGTTGTGATAATTAATTTTTATATGTCACTTTGGCTAGTAAATAGTGTTCAGTAGATAGTCAAAAATTAATGCAGTTGATTGGATGGTGATGTGTAGATGTAATGGATGTCTGCAATAATTTTTTATTGTGTTATTTGTTTGCTTCTGTGGTGCTGGGACTTGACCCCAGTGACTTATATATGCTAGGCCAGTGCTCTGACATATCCCTAGCTTGAGAGAATTTTAAAACTGATAAAGCCTTTATCACATTAAAGAAAACATTTTCATTGATTTCTTTCCATTTTCCTTCTGTGTGTGGTATTTAAATGGTGTTGCCTTTGGTAGTGTTAGTGAGCCTCATTTAATCAGATGAAGATCTTAAAGCCCAATTCGAGGTTGCCTAGTGAAGGGATTTCTGTCTCAAGATTGTAACATCGACCAATTCATGATGAATTTCCTGCCTGCATGTTTCCTTTATAAATTCGATGTTTCTGTATATCTGTAATGTTATGTATACATAATGTGTATTTATTATAAACATGCCCACATTTAAGCGAAAGAACATAACTGGGTATCATGCATATCTAACCACTTAAGCATTATTAAAGAATCTGAAAACAAGATTCCAACGTAATTTCTGGTTGGAAAATTATAATTTTGGTTTTACTGGAGAGATGCAAAGTTGTACCAACCTAAATTATGGTTTTGGCATTTAACAATCCTGTTATCTATCTCCAAATATTGCCTAAAATTGTTTCCAGAGGAGCTGAGGATCAGGAAGACTACGACAAGGCATAAAAAAACTGACAAAGGACAAGAGAAAAACTAAAACAACAGCAGTGGCCAAGGAAAAAAAATAAACAAATGAAATGAAACCGCACTGCACTCACAATGTCAGAATACATCACATTACTATTTACTCTTCTTTTCCATCTCGAGATTTCTGAAGCAGCATACTAAAACAATAGATTTCATAGACCCTGAGTTCAGGATGGGAGCTATTTCTTATGATTACTAGAAAATGTGTGGCACAACTCTTTGGGGGTGTTAGGTTACTGGACTCACAAGATAAATGATTCAGGGCAAGAAATATTATTTTTGAAAGGCAGATAGATTTGGGAGTTATCTTGGAGATAGAAATAATACTGCTTTCTGTTGGGCGAATGTCGTGCTCAATGGGTAAAAGGATATTTTCCATGTGTGTGTATCTGACTTACTCTAAGCTTGGAAAAGGTATAAAGACATACTAGAAAATAGACATAAGTACAATTTTAGTTTCAGAGTTTGAAGTTTCAAGCTCTTATGAAACATGCAGATGGTGCTAGTCGATGAGCAACTAGAAATACCTTACATAGCTCAGGGAATACCTGACACATATTAGTTACCAATC